TGACAAAATAATGAACGTTTCCAGCAACTTGCAAAAGAGCGAATTTGAATGACATAAAAACATAAAAAAATATTAATGATTCTTGTACAAAAAAAAACTTTACAGAAATAGCTATTCAAAGAGCCGCTGAACAAGCTATGGATAATATTGTTTTGGTGTTATTATGTATTATGCTGAAAAAGAACCAAAATTCAAATTTGAAGTATCCATTATTATAAAATAGTGATTGATATTTCATTGATTGCTGTCCCTTTTTGACAGGATTTCTTTTCGTTTTCCATAAGCAGGGCCTCAGCAAGCGGCAAGCATGTGCTCAACGCGAGGAGGATAAAATGGTCGTTTATAAATTTGATCAAAATCGTTTGATTGTTGTTCCTGAGAAACACTTTGAGCTTCTAAGTGTAATTTATTCTCCGTAACTTTAAATTATACTTCTTCTGGTTTGCAAGAATATCCTCCCACAGTCCCACCACAAGATGGTGCACTCCTAAACTTTGAACATACAATGGAACCTAACTTTTTTGCGAATTTCCAAGTAAATCGACCGTTTTGTCTCCTAAAAGAAACCGCACCAGGGGATCTCTGGATGCTGTGCCCACAATTAATAGGGTTCATCTACTAGACAACTGAACACCTTATCAAACATGTATCATTTGTAAGTATCCTCATCCGACACTTCGTTTCAGAGATATTCGCATTTGAGGTTTTAACCCCACCGACGAATGCGTTTCGTCGAGGTCTACCATTCTCTTTTTGAGTTATTCAAATATGTTTTAACCTCGCCGAAGGATACGTCTCGTCGACATGTACCCTTTTCTTTTGTAACCACCTTATTCCGACACTACGTGTTTAGATATTCAGATTTGAAGTTCTGCTTCCCTCCCCCCTACATGTTTGACATGGGCGATTAGTTTCTTTTATTAGAAAGAGGTGGCATTCAAATTTCAAATCGTATCACCAATTACAAACTTAGTTCTGCACATGCGCGCATTGCTGGCCAACTTTTACCATGTTTGGCTTAAGAAATCGACTTGATTTTAATAGAAGTAGCCTACGTTCTCCCACGTTCCATTTACGTACGGGATTAATCCCTCAAAAATGTTGCGGAATCCCCGATATTGCATTCCCTAATCCGGGCGGAGCTTTGAGGCTTGTTTCCAAAGGTCCGAAACTTGATTTTAGTTTTCAATGGTTCCAATCGCTTAAAAAAGTCAATGCCAAAACATTTTCTTGTTCCAATCCGGATTCAAATTGAGGACGGTCTTACTCGTCGTGTAGACAAGCACTTACTCCATTAGGTTGTCTCCTCAAGTATAAATTGTGCACAATTCTTGTGTAGATAAAGCGCATTTTTTAAACCGAAATAGCTTGGTAATGGTTATAAGGTAGTAGCATGCTATATTTATCGATGTTTTCTTCCTTGTTAGATGATTAATGGAGAAGGGGCTGTTTACAAATAAACATTTTCCTAAAGATCGCCTGGTACACATTCAAAATCTAGGTACGCTATGTAATGCAAGAAGGATCAAGCCCTTAGAGAAATTCTCCGAAATATTGCATTTTCCCTTTCTAGGTATCTTCCTCCCAGATTTTCGAGATATTCACAATTAAGTTTTTACATCGCCGGTAGATGTCTCTCGTCTAAACCTTCTTTTTGCCCTTCAAGGGTACCCCTCCTTCTCTACACTAATATATGTTTCGACCAAACAATTCAATTTGCCTTTGGGAAGTACCCTTCGTCCAACGAAACGTTTCGAGATATTCGCCCTTAAAGTTTTGACATATCCAATAGATATATTTCTTTCAGATGTCCCAATCATCCTTTGTGAGTACCCTCCTCCGACAATCTGATGTTTTTGAGATTAAGGAATTATTTATATCCAATCACGATAAGGGGTCGAGGAGGAGGACGATGGTTGGTAGAAATTAATTCCTTTCATTGAGACCTTTCATTAGAGTACCATGCAGGATGAAACCAGTCCCCCCCTCCTCTTTTGATAAGAAGTTAGAAAGAAAGGCGGTAGTTACCAGAAAACAGTTCCTTTTGTTCAGACCTTTAATTAGAATACTGTGACAGATAAAATTATTTCTACCTTCCCTCTCCACCCCCCTCCCCCATCGGCCATCTACTGATCTCGAAAAGGAGTCGCAGAGGAAACCAGCTGGTTGTCGCATGTAAAGGTTATGTATGTTTTATTTTCCAAAACTCAGGGAATAATTAATGCGCCCCCTTCCCCTTGAGACAGCGAAATTGGATAATCACCTTGAAGGTATTGGCTACGTATTGCAAAAATCCAGGACTCTAGGATCATTCCCCTAAAAGTAATTCAAAACCGCAAAAGTGGGTCCAGACGGACGAAGAGACAGACAGACTTCTCACTTACTATCCTGACGTGAGATATGAAGGAAAGGTTTTTATCAAGCGTAACCTCCAATATCTTTATTCTAGGTTCAGCGGTAACTTTGTGTCCTCCACCGTGAGATTGTGGATTTTTCTCACCCAGCCATTAAGGCTCCTTTCGTTTTCTCCTGTAGCAACTTTAAACACGTGGCCCTATCCAGTTATTGTTTTTGTCGATCGTCCCTGTCAGTTTTTCACAAGCTTTGTTCAAACTGTTACGGATTTCTACAGTCAGACCATCCGCGAAGCCGATTACTTTCACCTCACTCCACAACAAAGGTCTTAAAACAGACCCTTGTGGCACTCCCGCACTCGATTTGAAGTTATAGGTCACACCTAAGGGTTTTTGAGCCGTACCAGTTCCACTATGTATTCCCCGCACCCCAATCACGCTACTCCTTTATGATCGCCTTCCTAGATGCCGATTTAAAAGCGTTCTTAACATCCAGCGAAGCAACCAAACACACTTCCCGAGTTCTACACGTTCCGGAGTTTGCTAAACGTATTTCATCTAAAATCCGTAGCGGTGTATTTTTGGTATACCATCTTTTCCGGAAGCTATACTATTCTGGCGAAAGTTTGACTCCTACCTGTAGGGTTAACCGAGCTTTTCCAGCAACTCTATTAGACATATGGGTCGAAGAGCACCTGTTGCGTTCGGAATTGTCACTATAACAGGCAGGTTTCCGTTTCCTTCCGTTGCAGTTTGGGTCCATATCTCTGGTCTGGTCATTGCTCAGTTGGAATAAGGTCGGGACCAGGCGCTTTGTTTATAGGAAGCCCTGCCCTGCGTCGTCAGTAACTCTTGCGTAGTTACCGGTGGGATGTCTTGTACTTTTCGTAGTGTTGTTCGTCCGTCATAACCCTCGGCATCCTCTACTTTCTGTCAGGAAATTTTAGTTTCCATGACAGAGGCCGAGCAGACTACGTTTCCTGCCGCTTGTCACTTTACTTACCGGATCTGTCACTTTACCGGCCGTACCGTCACTTTACCGGCCGCATTTCTGACATTTACAAATGTCTATAATAACTCCTGTCATCACTGACAGATTGACATTAATCAAAAGTTCTATATAAAAATTGAAATTTTATATTAAAATACGATTTCGGGTAAAATTTAATACAAAACTCGTCAGTAAAATGACATTACCTGATTCGGAAATTAAAGTACTCGGCCCCTCAGGGGCCTCGCACTTCAATATTTCCTCACCAGTAATGTATCATTTTCCGCACCTTTGTAAATAACTATTCCAAGATTGGGGCAATTTCTGCTCCCATACCACACCGGAAGCAAATATTCCTATTAATTACCCTGCACGAGAAGCGATTATTCTTTGGACAAATTTACACCCAGAACGACAAAAATTGAAGATGTTGATATTGCTTGAAAATCTGGAAAACCCTTCATATCTAAATCAAGGTGAAAATCTTCAGAACCCCACAAATTTTGCGACTTTTGTGAATGTTCTGCTCTACTCAGCATTTATTTTAATTTTTGTGTGTGAAAATTTTGGGAATTATTGAATTTTCTGGGGTAAGTCTTCTGGGAGGAATTTCTCCACAATGGGTTATATTGTTTCATACGTAATTGTGGAGGTTGTCAACATGGGTATATTGTTAATCCATACAAAATGCCCTGTTGCAGAACCTAGTAACAAGATCAGTACTAATTGTTTGATTTCTCTACTACTATTCCTAAAATTAATACCGAAATCACCCCCTTTGCCGTATTTATCCCTGATGTGTCTATTTCTCTCACACAAGTGGCCTAGCAGCTGCAACTTCACCCTTGGACTTCCTACTTTGTTCAATTCTAATTTATCCGTACTCCACTACTAACGAATTATGCATATTATGAGCTTAATAATTTTTAATATTCATGTCAGTGATGCATATTCATCAGTTTTTACTATAAAATTAAAAGTGGCATGTCTAGTAATAATGTCTCATATTATGTGTCTTGTACTGTTTGCAGTGCGTCAGATTATTATTAAGTAATTAAACGAAATCACTTTATTAATTATCATCACCATGGGAATTTGCTCTGTTGTCTGCTCTTCATTTTGAAATGGCTGGTTTTGGATAAATCGAAAACTTGTGTACAACCCCTAAAATCATAATTAATGTTTTCTATAACATCCTGCACTTTGAAATTTATTCCCTGCACAGGATTACTAAAGCAGCTTTTAGTACCTAATCAAGATCGGCCATTCGAAGGAACATTAATCACCTCCATTCGTGCTATTTAATAACTATTATAGTGCTGTAAACAACTTATGTCATCTGAAGGTGTAAGTCCTTGATTTACTACCTTGCCGTTGAAGTAAATCTGCTTTACGATTTCCTATTAAAACTATAAAAACGCACGGTGATTGTGATTGAAAATTGCAATGGAAACAACTTAATTATGATTACTTCGACTAATTAGAATTACGCGACTAGATGGTTTAATTACGAACCGATTTCAATTACGGTCGCCGTTATCATTAGGTGGCAGAGTGTAACGAACTGTGCAATGATGAATTAGTAATCTATTAGTCTTAATTAGTTCTTAATTAACAATTTACATATTGCAGTGTCAAAGGAAGTCAAAACTTACATGTCCGTGCTTGTCCATTTCGTTATTGGTGAGTTTCACTTTTTCAAAGGAGACGACTTGCTTCCGGAGTTGTTCCCCCGTAAATGGAGAATCCGGGTGCGTGTAAAGACGACAGGGAGCAGGTGGGTCAGCTTTACCAGCGACTAACCACGATGAACGATGATATGCATAACGATACCTTTTGTTATCTACAGGTACGATGTCCAAAATCACAGCGTATCGTTGCTCCGGTCGTACGCCCGTAAATGACACCCTTAGCGTTGGAAACATCCTCCTTCAACAAAGAAAAAAATATAATTAATCCAATTCACAAGCAACTTAAACGCGATTTAAATTAGTCACCAGTCGCTGGGTTGATGTGGTGAGCTATAAAGTTTTTATGTAACGAAGGTTTACAGGTCATAATTCTTCAATAATACATTAAAAGCAAGGATCAATAATTCCGTTTGGTTTACTTCAAACGAACCAAATCGAAAACACTACTCGCTCAAGCGAAAGTATCAATCAATGGTGAAGAATAGAAGACCACCTAGTAATTTTTACACTTTCTGCTGCACGCGAAATGGTATCAACTCGACAGCTTTTATTCGAAGGCAAACCGTAATGATAGGTTGTCTATTTCGACAGGGGTAATTTAGATCAATGATCCAACTAGACAAAGTATTACAAGTCACTCTCACTATAGCTCAAACTAGTTTAAATAATTAGATGATGGCATTATCAAAATGAAGATTGGGTAACCAGCATGGGAAAATCGCTTAATTCACACCTATAGTGTTTTGATGATGTGGGCGCTACGGTGACCTAATCAACAAATTATGATTTATTACATAATTAGACGACTCAAGAACCTAAAATTTGAATTCGAGAAGCTTCCATAATTCATAATTTAGGATTAATTAGCATCTTTCGCATAAATTTATTTGTTTATAATTTGCATAGCTAGTTTCGCTTTTATACACCTGTAATTATTTACCTTAAATGTTAGCGAGCCAATTAACGGCGTTTTTATATGTTCATATGGGAGATAGGTAACAATGGAGGTAGTGTATGAGAAATAAATATTTGTTAATTAAGTAATCGTATGAGCGTGTTTCAGGTTGTATGATAATTAGTGCCAAAGTCTTCACGCATTTTGGTGTTAAAAACCCACTCCATAGATGGTGTAGTTTTTGCATGTACCTACTATAAAGGTGTTTTCTGCAACAACCTTCCAATAATCAATTTTTCCAAATACTACGAAGAATAACTAAACATGACACACACAGCACATCCTGATAGCACACGGCATACCAAATTTTGATCCACGAATTTCTCCATCTTTTGTACAACAAATTGATTCTCTTTTCAAATATTCTAAAAAAAACATACGCATTGCGTATGAGGAACAAAAGTGGCCTCGAATTCCTGATCAACCGGAAGTGATACCGGAAATTACTATATGGCGTCCCATATAAAATTATATTTGACTTTTTCGAATCTCGCCCAATAAACGGGATATTGAGGTGATCCTCTTCTCGAACACACTGTATAGGAATAAATTCTCTCTATTCTCAATTCTAATTATAAGAGAAGTTCCATGCTTTTCTATAGTACATCTGGAAATTTAAAGTATTTGATTCAAGGTAACGTGTCGTAATTTGGGAACTTATTTTAACATATTGATCACTGATTCATTAACGACTAGCGCATCTGATTTTTATCGTAATTCATTGCACTTTCCTACAGATAAATTCAAGCGAAAGTCTGCATAATAATTCAATAAACTCCAATTAACGTCAACAAAACAATGAAATAAGGTTCTAATTTAAGTTTATGTAAGATATTAAAATCATTCATGAATAAAACTTAATTACGTGTTGCATATTATAACGAGAAAGGATTTGTTCATGTAGTAGTACGTATTATATTTCATGATACCAAAGCTAAAGTTCCATCTGTCCATCGCGTTTTGTTTGGTTTTTAATAATTTTTCCATTGTGCGTACTATTAATATACTTCTATCATTTGTCAACGTTGCTTGTTTTTCTTGGATTTCTTCGCATAAGATTTCTCTTTCTTCTATGGAAAGTAATAGTCAACGTTCTAAACAGGGTTTCTCTTATATTTTTCCTTTCCTATAAGGAAGTATACTTTAGGCGCGTCATTCAGCACCAACCCCCCTTTTTTCTATTTTATCTACGTTGAAGATACGTTACGTGTGGTATGTAGGTCCAAGTGTTTGCCAGTTATCGTCAGACAAATAAATAATTGCCGTCTTTACTTTGTTTATTTCGTTGCACAGAAATTGTGTGTTATAAGATTAGATTTAAACGTCTGGAAATTATTTGCGTAGTATTTGTAAAAGTTTACCTCATGTTTTTCTCCGGTCGCCGATAAGAAATGTTCTTATCGCTGCGTACGCTAATTAAATTTCGAGATAAGAACGTGTTATAGCCGATAAGGAACCACAGATGCCGGTTCATCTTTGGAAGACGCGGTATTATTGTGGAAAGGAAGGGGGAACGGACGCGAGGAAAGGGAAGAATTGTTAAATATGGGAGACGGAAGTTAAGCAGGGTCTTTTGCCTTTTGTTGGTCATGCGCTTTTTGTTCGGTCGGCGTTATTTGTTTCAAAACAGTGAGTTTTACCTGCATCCAAGCTTTCTGTAAGGTAGGGAGTTGTGGCAATCTTTGAACGTATTTTGCAGTTAGTCAGTTATAAAGTCTTGTGGAAGGAGGTAAGAGTGTTTAAAGAGTTATGTGTACGTCATGTTAAAAGTTAGGTCGATCTAAACAGAAGTGTATTTTCCCGTTTATGAACAAGTTTATGGCGGGTTTATATTGTACCATCATTATCATTAGTTCAATCATTAAAAAATAGCCAATAGAAACACAGGTTTATCGTCCATTGCTAACAGCTTCAGAACATCTCCCACAGCAGAAATGGCAGTTTTCAACTTCACGATATTTCGAATTAACCACGCCGGGTTTTGGACGTGGGTATACAACTCGTGTACCTGCCAAACAAACCCCTGTCAAAACATTCCAAATCCGACCGCTCGATGCGCTGCTATAGAATAAATAGTGCCCGGATTGAACCAGACTTTACCCCAAAATTTCACTAATTTGTATAAGGTATTGGTATAAGGATTTATGAAAACGAGACCTACCTATCCGTACTGAAAAGCAAGGTCGAGCTCAATTACTGGTAATCTTTTTCGTTGTCATTATTGCAAATATTTCATGGATTTTAACCTACAAAATATATTTTTTTGGTGAAAAAGTTTTGCTATAATTGAATTGAAGGTATACAATCCGTCATATGATGACTATTTTTTACAGACAAATTTTGCTTTTGCTTTGTTTACGCTAAAACCATACATGTTCACAAACGCACAAAATCAGTCAATTTTATTGTCAATTTTGTCTGTGAACAATCACATCAATTAAACTTCCACTTCTTTGATTTTTATTTCAAGCAGTTATCTTTCTCCTAATTTATTTTCGGAGTGTATGATTTCCTAAAAAAAGTGAGCGCTTGATTTTCCCAATGATTTATTATTATTAAAATGTGTATTATATATTAAAATGTACATAATATTCAATATATATTACACATGTTTCCCAAAATCCGTACTGTATGGCAAACCAGAGCTCATTTTTTGCCTTAAACATTTTCATAAGTCATTTGTTCAGAAAAGGTTACCTTTGTTGTTAGAAAGTATTTGCTATGCTATGCAGAGTAACAGATTCTCTAGTTGCGGTTCTCACCAGATTTATAGTTGGCATTATTGACAATAGCAAAACCTTGTAAAATTCAGGTATAAATGGAAACGAGTGCCAATTTACTTAAGTTAAATAAATTAGATGTAAATTATAGACAAAAATTTCATTGTTAATTAATTAAGGGCAAGCCTGTTACTATTGAGAAACAGTAAGGTGACCCTACGAAACCCGCAAACGGAAAGCAAAAGTTTGCACCGTAACCTTATGTAACGCATAAAGTATTCAAACTGAAAATGAATTAATTACGTTTACTTTCTTCTCGAACAGGATTTTGCCCCATGATCCAGAACCATAAAGATAAATATATGTTAATTCTTGCACATGTATAAAGGACCCACTGCCGTGATTACGTTACTTTCTGTGTTCTTAATGAGGTTGTTAAAAAATTATAATGTGTGTATTTTATGGGTAAACACAAAAATGTTTAATTAAATATTATATCTATTACTTTTCCTTTTTTACGTATTTTCCGTTAATTTGGTAACATTCTGATCATGCTCGCTTTCTCCTGTCTTCTTTCTACCCAAAATTCAGTTTAGCAAACCGCAAATCATTGCACTTTTGGAAGATACTGGAATATGTAAAATATAGGATATTAAAGCACTTCTATGTGATAGATCACAATAATTATTGCACTGAAACTGTGCCATGGAAATAAAATCTCAAACGGACGAATAAAATGGGGCTAAGTATCAAACCTTGAGGAACTCCATTAGGAAGGAAATGAACCGATTTACCGATTTTGCTAAATCACGCATAGTTGTAAATGGAAAAATATTTAAATGAATAAATTAAATAAATCAATAGCGATTATAAACGCCCATTGAGGTCTAAATTGTCACATAATCCTCATTTTTTAAAATTCCCGTTATAAACTCAAATTTCTCGAGGAATTCCGTAAATCCCATTCATTAACACGGTGCTCCTAATATCTAACGGGATTGAAATTTATTAATTTTGTATCTTTTAGAAAAAATAATGAAACGTGTTAAAACATTTTTATAAAGTTAAGTATTTGAACTGTTAGGAAAAGGTGGCAGTAGAATTATGTTTAGACTTTATATAGGCATTAATATGCAAATTGTAAACCACCTGGGAGTTACTCATTCAAACTAACTATTTATTGTAAATATGCGAACTGACAGCTATACGTTTATAGCGACAGTTATTTTTAAAATTCCTGCAATAAATACAGAAATTATCTTGGCTGTATATCCGAATAAACCATTTCGAATTGGCCGAAACAAAATTTTATTAGAAGGCTTGTTTCGTTTTATGAGTATTCTCTCTACCGATTGTAATCTAATGTGGTTAAAAGTTAAATAATTCAACAAGTCTATTTAGTACCCGAATTACTCAATTTTTAAAGAAATAAAATTCTACTGTATATGCGCGCGGTAATTAAAAACTGATTAGGAGACCGGCGTAAAATTTGTAATTAATGTTTAAATTATGCGTGGAGCATCTAATTTTCTTTTCGCGTACGAATATATCTCGATTTTTATCTACCGGCTACATCGGTTTTCTACTATAATACTGAAATTATTACCCAAATGAGAACAATTAACACTTCATAAGGAAGGAGTTATTACATACTTTCCCTAATTGCTATGCAAACGAGATTATCAGTGAACTCGCACCGTTTAATCAACTAATTGAGTGGTACATACAATATTTTATCTAAGATCAGTTGCATCATGAATACTATACCTATGTTTGAATATACAGTTTTCAATAAGTGTAAGCCGAGGTGTAAGTTTAGCAAAGCTTCCGCGTAGCTTAAAATCTATTTCAATTATGCTACGTTTAAACCTCGGCTTAAATTTGTGGGGGCTCAAAACTCTTCTAGCCAAACTCCGTAATAAGAAGATGAATAAAATACTTGCATGTATACAGTACCTAATGCACAAAAAATAAGAAGAGTTACTCTAAGCATGATGCATCCTGAACTGCTCTACTTCGAGAAAACTGTCACCAGAAACATTCCTGTGGATAGTGGTATTGGATCCGACGAGGCGAAAACGAAGCGACGTGTAGATAACAGGAAAACGAAAAAGGACTCTATAATCAGTCCGCGCAGGACGTAGCCGGAGGGCAATTTCAAATCCAATTTCTAAGATATGGCCTTCGAGAATTCTATAGTCGGTCCGTGCAAAACGCATCTAAAGGGAAGAACAATTTTATTTGGACACCCTACCCCTCCAAATTTTGGATTGAAAACCATGTCTAGGCCGTACCTAAAACTACTGGTGCGCAAACAATAAAGTTATTTATGAACAATTATTGTTCTAAAGCGTTGCAGTATTGCCGCTTCCCGTTGTGTTACCATATGTTGGCCGTCTCGTTATATAATTGAACTACCGTCCTATTGTATTTAATTTAAAGAAAACCTATTGAAGGGACTTTGAAGCGCTATTTAATATTATACACTTATGTAAAGGATGCTGATGAAAACACAATTAATTTTCTTTTAGAACCTAACGCTTATTCATTATATATTGCGTTTACTCAACCCGATTTACTAAAATATGTTATTCGATTGCAGCAAAGATATAGGTACCTCAAAAAAAATAAGAACTGTTTCATACTTAATAAAGATTGTTTGTTTATCCCTTTCGTCCTTTCTTTAAAAGGCCAGGAGAGGATTACTAACTCACAGCTAACCATCCCCAAGTTAATTGAGATATACCAAGATTAACCAGAGGTAGAAGAAGTATTTGTAACCCGTTTAAACTGTCGTTTCATTCGACAATTGAAGCATATAGCGTCAGCGGCCCGGGCTCATGGGTTAAAGACGTTAATAGTAAATGGTGCAAATTGTAAGCGTTTTCGACCATTTTACGAAAATTTTTTTGTAATAGTACACTAATCTCTCGGGAAGATGTATTTTATCTGCATTACCTACCACTACATACAATTTGTTTCAAATTAAGTCCGCACTATTGCTAACTTTCTTAGT